TTTTTTTTTTTTTTTTTTTGCAATATAAAAAAAATTCGTTTTTGTTGTTAAATTTTAACAACACATACACAGGAAAATTAACGTCGTATCCATAAGATTCTATCTAAGTAGACCTTACACCTGTAAATATAATTATATTTTATGTATTTCTTTTTCTCTTCTTCTTTATATTCGTAAGCATTGGACAGACAGGCATCCGTTTCCCAAAAGATATTATTATGCTGGTAGAACATAGTGATATTTCACTCACGAACTAAAACTAAGACTGTTGAATTCATATTGAAAAAGTTATTAGAAAAGTATCCTTGTAAACAACGTTTTAAATGTTTGTGCCTTTAAGTAAATATATTTTTAGGCCTGGTATAGCTTGGAGGTTAGGATGCTCGATTCGCAGTCTGCGTGTAGCGGATTCGAATCCCAGTCATACCAAACATGCTTGCCCATTCAGCCACGGGGGCGTTATAATGTGACTATCAATCCCACTATTCGTTGGTAAGAGAGTATCTCAAGCATTGACGGTGGGTGGTGTTGACTAGTTGTCTTCCCTATAGTCTATAACTGCTAAATTAGAGACGACTTCGTGTAGCTTTGCGCGAAATTAGAAAAAACGAACAACGAATTTTAACCCTGGATAGAGCTGGCCGAGAGAAAGAATTGATCCAGCATCACTAAGTATTAGAGGTATCTCATTAACAAAGTTCTCAGTTAGAAGATAGATATATAATTACTGTAATTTCTATAAAGCCAGACTCTCACATATTTCATATAAGTAAGAATATTGCATTCTTTTCAAAAAATTACTGAATGATTGATAATGTATAAAGGTTATTTGGAAGCTGTTGTTTGTTTGTTTTCGTAGCTGAATGGTGCTACATTTTAAAGAGTTTTATCACGTTCAATTTATTTTAGTTATATCGGAAATAAACTATTTCATCTGGTGATTTATAGCTTAGCAAAAATGTTGTAAAATACAATAGCAATGATTGTTTTATTTTTTGAAGTTTGCGCAAAGCTCCACTAGGGCCGTCTGTGCTAGTTGTTCGTAATTTAGTAGTGATATACTAGAGGGAAGGCAGCTAGTCAACACCACCTACCGTCAATGCTTGGGTTACTATTTTACCAAAGAATTGGGATTTACCGTCACATTATAACGCCCCACGGTCGAAAGAGCGAGCATGTTCGATGACGCGGATTCGAACCCACAACATTCGTATTGCCAGTTGAGCGCCTTGACCACCAGGCCACAATATCAATGACAAAGGGGGTCTTCCCATATAGCTTCCATGATTTTTGTATAAACCGAAACTGAAAAATCAAAACTTTTATTCAACTTTGTCACAAATCTCACCACGCATATACGGTTGTTCTTTCTATGATTACGACAGTTGAAATATTTTTTATTTTCTTTTTCGCTGATCTAGAAAGTACAGTTTTTATAAGGCAGGAATGTAGTTACAATAAAATATCCCCAACGCTTTGATTACGGCCTTTGAAGATAGGGCCCACCCCCAGTGGCATAGTGGTATGTCTGCGGACTTACAATGCTAGAAATCGGGTTTCGATACCCGTGGCGGGCAGAGCACCGATAGCCCATTGTGTAGCTTTGTGCTTAACTTCAAACAATCGAACTTGAAGATAGGTCCACCTGGCGAAAACACTACATTTTTACTATATTTTTCCAATTCTCTTTAATTTGATGAGTTTTAACGTGTCTTTATTTTGTGCCTAGTATATTTACTCCATTATAAGTAATCAAAAAGTATTATTTGTATTAATTATCTGTTCCTGTAAATGATCCTTTTGTGCTGTGCCCCCTGTGTGAATGGAAAGCATGGTTATAAGTTTCAATGTTTGAAACTACAGTTCGCCACTACCATGCCTGATCTGGTTTTTAGTTGAATTTCTAAATAGATTTACCACCAAGAAATACACTTTAATGGATAGATTTGGATTCTCTCATGAAATACAACAGTTGAAGTTTGATAATGATGTGTACTGAGCCAGTTTTAATGTTGAATCATTATATAAAAATACACCTTTAGAAAAGACCCTACAAATGGGTGCTAATCTGATTTCCAATAATGTGACTGTTCCGAATTCAGTTTTTAGGAAATTAAAGAACTTCGCCACTAAAGAACACAATTTCCTTCAGATTGATCAGATTGGAGGTGTTACTATGAGTTCGATATTGACGTCATCTTTGGTCAATATATTTTGTGTTGTTATGAAAAGCAAAGGTTAGAAAATTTCAATCTTTCTACCGTTGTGTTAATGGCACATTTGCCTTCTTTAATAACTCTAGTCAAGCTTCTCAATTTCTTCAATATTTGAGCAATAGATGGAGCAACATAAAGTTTACTTTGGAACATCAGGAAGACCATAAACTTTCATTTTTGGACACTTCAGTTAATAATAATAATGACCACATCAAAGGTAATGTGTACCCTAAAATGACATATACAGGCTTTTACATTAATTTTTCAACTTTTCATTCCGAATATGCTTAAGAAAGATTAACAAGGGTCAATTATGAACAAACACTCCGAATAAAAAAGATAGTGTTTATTCACAAGTTGAGGCCTGAGATAAGGTTTATGTAACAGTTACTAAACTGCTTTTGTTATTATTGTTACGACAGTGGAAGTCACGTGACGCTAGTAACACGTGATGAATTTCTCGAATGATCATGAATTATCGGGGAAGACCGAGTTTGTTCGGGACGCCCCCTTTTTTAGTATATAAGCCTGGTAGAGAAAGCCTGTGGGATTGAATGAAGAGAGTTCCGGGTAATTTACGATTTTGTTTCGAGCTAGTGTGTGTTTTGTTATCATGATTGTGAATCGCTGTGATTTATAGCG